TCTTCTAAATAATGACAACTAAGGTAGTCAAGGAGCGCCAGAAAAGTTTTTGCGAAATTGTCTGATAATCATAAATGAAAGCATTCTTCTACATTAGCAAAAGGCACAGAAATGGGCACGTGCTATCTTCACAAACACTATCAATAGTGATGGATTAGAAGCGATATACTTCAATAAATAAATCAAGTGGGGCCTAATACATCAAATGAGATCCCTTTCTAATATGAAACTAAAAGCAACTAAAAATCAAATTCAGCTAAAACATATTTAAAACTATATCCCAGCCTATGATTAGGCTATTCATAACAGATAGAGAACAATAAATTGATTATAACGGATCAATCTCCTGTGCATGGCAACTGAAGCAGCAATACAAGGAGACGATTCGTAAGAATACATTGGTTGTAGAATATGATAGTAGTTACCAGGCGTACCAAATAGGGCTTCGAGTGGCGCTCGGCCTCCATAGCTCATGGAGCCTATTGGATAGCCAGAAGCTGAGGGAACAAGCGAATAGCCAGAATGGAAAGCTTGCAGCGAGTAAGACTGTGTAGAAAATGGAGGTTGGTTGTGCATATTTCGATAATGGTGGTGTGGATGAGTGTGAGAAAGAGAAGAAAGAGGGAGAGGAAGCGGAAATTGTCCTTGTTGAGGATTCTGGGGAGGTTGAGATGGCTGCCTGGAGTGACGCATGGACAATTGCGGAGATAAAGGAGGGAAGTGACGTGACGGCAGACTGGAAAGATGTGAGCTTGACTGTGAAGATGCTGGGTTTGGGTTCAAGAATGCATGTTGTGATCCAAGGAAAGGGAAAGCCTGCCGATATTGTTGTGGAGACTGCTGAGAAGACGATCCAGATGAACTAGGTGGCAAAGAAACTGTGTACGCATGGAAAATAAAAGTAAGAAAATTAATTAGCAATAAGAAATATGACTCGGAATAAATTATGCTGAGATAATCTGTCAAAATAAAAATGTAGTAGGGGGAAAATGAGAGATGGCTTGATGAGGAACGGGAAATATGCAGGTAAAGGAAAAAGCGAAATGTATTATTTATTTTCGATACAGGTAGGTAATTCTTAAATAAAAGCTTAATCACTCTAGGTCACTTGGGGTAATTTAAGGAATGATAGTGAAGTTGTTTTGCACAATGATATTGTCTAATATTGTAAAGAAAACAGCACAACTAGGTTGTCTGGATCATTATAATGAGCATAAACATATTGCACGAGCTGAATTTAGGGATGGCAGGTCCTTATAGCAGATAAACGAGTAGAGGGAATGATTTTCAACCAACAAATAGGATGTCGAGTCAGAATATCTCAAGTTAAATAAGACTCTAAAACTCAAGGTTAAACGGCTTTTTTCTAACTATCCTTAACATAAAAAAGAACATAAATCAGGCACCCAAGTATGTTTCTAATGATAGCAGATACGATTAGTCTGATTATGAAAAAATTATAGATACTGTGTAGACAATGCTCGAAATATAAAAATAATGCTTGCTAATGAAACTTTTGTAACACGTGACTAGTTACGTAATAAATACATTTGAATGGAGAAAATTAATTCTAACCAGGCTCTCGACGATCCAAACCCATTGGACGACCAGGTCCATCAATCACTGGTCTTGAAGGATATCCATGGTGAGTTGGGAATTGGTGGGAATGGTGGAGTGGGAGCGGAAGCATATACGGATGAGGAGGACCAGAGGGGACTCCTGCAGTTGAGTGATTCGCAGAAGAGCCAGAGGTAGAATGAAGTGGCCGTTGGAAAAAGCTGGTTGAAGCAGCAGCTAGTGATAAAGGAAATGAATCAGAAGGAAGACAGTGAGGAAGCGGGTATAAGAACAAATTTACCAAAAAAGAACAACCTGAGAAGAATAAAAAAGGTTTATCACAATTTGGGAACCTAGCGATTGGCATTGTATCAAATCAAAATCAAAATTAAAATGTTATTCTAATTAGGCACATACTGAAAATCGGGATTTGAGCTCGTTTATTACAAAAGAGTACCAGTTGAGGGGCCAGTGCTGCTCAGATACAAATGAAAATAAAAACTTCCGGAGGTTATATTGTCGTACTATCATATACGTTTTTTACTCAAGTTGGTCTCGATTAAAATCTATTGAATAATGAATTACTGGATTAAAAAGTGATCAGTATCTGGCATTTATTATTATTATTTCTAAGAAGATATTAAGAGATCAAACCATCAGAATAGGCTGCCGATTGGAATGCTACAGATAATGCTCGTCAACTTTTAATTAAACAAGGACCTGGAGGAATATATAATGTTGCTGATGGCTGGGACAGATAGTAAGGCAGGGAATGAAAAACTTACAATTCTGAAATCCACTGAAAGGCCTTCTTACAGTACCGAAAAGTGAAGATGACCCAGATGGAGACATTCGGTCACCTAGAATCCAGTGATTAATGAAGAATATCAGAGCATTAAATTAATTGAATGAGATTGCGATAAAAGAGAAAAGTTAAATCTGATTCACTTTACGTCGCGTATGGTGATGTGGGACTGTTAGCTAAATTTCTCACAATAAACTAAGAAGAGGTTGTAGGCTGACCTCATTGTCGCAACTTGGTCTTGTTTTCAG